CCCCAAAACCCCAAAACCCCAAAACCCCGTGTGAAAAAAATCAAATGAAAGAGTTATGAAATTAAGATAAATATTTTGCTTATCAAATTGTCTCTTGTAAAAATTTTAAATCAAATGGTTCTTTGAAATTTTTGACCTTGAGTGGCTTAAATTTACCTAGAATATCTAATGCTTCTTAGTCACTAGATAAAACAAATACTGCTGGTGACCCATATGGAGCAGTTACAGTAAGTGTAAGACCTTGAACTCCAACGATTTAAATTTCTTTTGTCCAAATATTTACCCATTATCCCTCAGGTAAGTAAACTTGTCTTTCCGCTTTACCAACTTCAAAGATAGGAGCAACCATGATATTTCCTAGTAAGAATTAATCCTTAACACTTCTTGCTTATTTATCATTAGGATAACTTAAAAGCAGAGGTCTTGTCATAGGCGTTCCGAATTGATTGGCTTATTGAATGAGTTTTCTTTTATAAGGTGCAAGAGCTTTATGAATTTGTACAAAATGAGAGAAAAATTAAGCTGCGTCATCATCATCTTGAATTTAGAAGTTTTAGGTTGGCCTATTAGTAGGATGAGTCCTCATAATTGGATCCGAAAACGTACTCATCTCAATCCATCTATAGAGAACTTCTCTATCTCTGAAGTATCTTATTCCATAGTTGTCCATCGAAGTATAGCCACCGATATCTGAATGACAAAGACTAAATCCACTGAGACCACCATTCAAGGCCCCAATCAGTGCAGATTGAGAGCCATCAAACTAATCAAGAGTTGGTAATTAGTCGCCCATCCAAAAAAGATCAGTGTAATATGGACTGAGAGTGTTGCCTGACCTCATGAAAGCAACTATTTCTTTGCCTTTATCTCCTATTTCTTCCTAAACTTCTCTAGTTATCTTAGCCCAGTAGTATGGGAATTTATTGTGATAAACTTCGGCTGACTCATTGGAGAATGTGACTAGGTCTAGAGGAGCATATTCTCCGAAATCTTACATCCATCCGTAAGATCTTCCCTCTTCAATTAAGTTATTCTTAATAATACCCTTAAGCCAAACAACAGCATCTGGATTGGTAAAGTCAATCATTGCGAAATCAATACTAATACTTTTCAAGATATAAGTGGAACCTTTGCTATTCTTAACAAAATAGCCATTTTTATCTCCTTCTTCAAATTAGTTCTAAGTTAAGTTATCTGAAGAAAGATTAGCAAAGTATGGGTTGATATAAATCATTGGCTTGACTCCATCTTTAGTCCAGCCATCTACCATATTATCCCAATTAGGATACTATTTTCTATTCAATTTCCAATTCCACATAAGTCTAGTGCCCTCCATGAAATCCTTGGTGCCAACCCAGTCTTACATCCACACTGCTACGATTGGTACACCATTTCTCTTTAGCGTTTCATAGTTCTTTGAAACTAAATCTTAGCCTCCTTAAAGCCCTAAGATAGCACCTTACTAAATCCACTCTGGAATCATTCTCATTCTACCTACAATAGAAGATAACTCTTGGACTAGACCCAAAGGATCTTAGGCTACAAAAAGATACCCTTCTATTTCATTCTAATGCCAAAAAACGTATTAGATCTTGTTTTCTAGAGTAAAATCAATGAAGCCTAGAGCACTTGAGTTGACTAGTATTCCATAATTGTTGGTTGTTATGTAGCTATAAGTAGGGGCATAAGTTGTTAGTGGACTTCCACCTTGATTTTTATTAAATTTATTCAAGATGAATGTTAAAGGCTATAAACCTCTGCCAATTCCGCCTTCTGAAGTGATAACTGGCACTAATTAACCTTTCATGTTCCATTAAGTATATTAGAGACCCATTCCATAGATTTCTTCATCTTTAGTTGAGAGTTTATTGAATGCTAGGAATTATGAGTAGTTATTAGGATCCTCGATTTTAATTGCAAACTTCAGTATTTATGATGAATTTTCATCTTTTAGACTGAAAGTTATTTGATAAGCAATAGCTTGAGTCTCATTAAGTGAAATAGGAGTATCTAGCTATCCATTGATTAAGACTGTATCATTTTACTAGCTGATTCCACAAGTGAGGTTTTTTGAGTATTGAACAGCTTATGGATATTTTTAAATGTCTCCATTAAGGATAATCTCATCTCTAGGAAATATCCCAGTACCAGTTTGGATCATTTCACCTATTGACTGATAGGCTTTGGGGTTGAGAGGATGAGATAAAGTGAGATTACATAGTTTATCCAAAGTTATATTCCATTAGCCAACCTAATGCGAATTCAAACTTTGAGTAGCTATTATTGCTGGAAGCAAAACTAAAAATATAGTTTGCCTATTTGAAGTCTGTAGCATATTAATAATTATTAAGTTGATGTATAAACAAACATTTAGTTTCAATTCTAATTTTTTAGTTTTATGTTGAAGTTTCCACTTTTTTTCCTGCTATGGATACTTTCTTTTTATTAAAGGTGAGATCCTTAAGAATGCTGTTATGAAGGAGATATTCCAAAACTATGATTTCTTAAGCTACTTTGTTTATGATAAGGTTTAGGACTTAGAGCATTAACTGATGAATCCATTTTTCTTCCTTTAATTATTTTTTGATTTGATGCCTTGTTATTGAGGCTTGTGTGACTGTAAAATAGGTCTTTTTAAGGTTTGATATCAAGTTGATCTTTTTGATTGATATATTCCTTACTCTCTTCATCTGAAATATTGCTCTCAGTGATTTAAGAATCTTAGTCCTCATCAGCTAAATGTGTAACAATTCTAATATATTCCTCCTAGTCCTCCTCTTAATCTTCTTCCACATGATTTAAATGACTTTCTTCACTATTAATAATTGGATTATGATTATGATGGGGGCTGTAGGCCATAATATTATGATATTGTTGGCTATTTTAACTTGATGTAGCTTGGTTATTTTAGATGCTACTCATATCTTTTTATCCTTGTAGACTAGAATTATTATGATTTGCTTGACTAGCTCTCTTGCTACCCTTAGATACACTTGTAGATGTTCTTCTTACCAGTTTCTAGCTATTAGGTGGAAGTAGATCCTTAGAATTTTCATCTCCAGTGTTGTCAATGTCATATCTATCATTTAAATGACTATTAGTTTGATGATTCACTCGATCAGCTAAGCTATGTTCAATTCTAATACCGTCTTCAGCCATTACATCATTACTATTTAAGCCAGTAATCAGCCCATTTTATTTAAGATTTAACGTAAATGAAACTTTATTAGCTGGTCCCTGGTTCTATAATTTCTTTATCTTAGTTTGACTTTGATTTAAACTTATTGCAGCTTTAATTCCTTTAAATACCTTTTTATCCTATATGAGTCTGCTACCTTTAGATTATTCCTTGAGTTATTTTTTCTTGCTATTTGAACTCTTGCGTGAACCCAAATAACTCAAATTCTATAATTTTTACAATTCATCTCTTTTCCTCTTCTTTTGAATGTATATCATCCAGTAATGTCTAATAACTCTCTAGCATTGCTCAAGTACTTTTCTTCTCATCTTGTTAAAGAACTTAAGGTTATTCTAGATTCTTCGCTTCTTTAAAACCAGATTTAACGATTTGAATACTAGAAAACCTCTCAAATATTTTTAGGTAGTAACAACTGCATTTACTTTCCTCTATTACCATGCCTTAGGTATTAATCTATATCTTCGATATGATCTATACATTCTTTGAATCTTACTTACCATTATATTTCTGAAAGTTTACTAAAGATCAATTAAAAATAAAAATTACAAGTCTATTATATCTGAGTCTCTATATGAACATTCTTACAAATTTTTGGATTATAATTGATGCTCTGAACCTTCTCCTTCTTTGTAGCTTTTAATTAAGTGACTCTAACAATTAGTCTTCAGTCATTTTATCTACAGTATGCTCTGCTAGTTTAATACTATGCTCCTCATAAAAATCATAGTTAATTTGTCTTTTCCTAATCTGTTTCTCTTGATATTCTCTTTATTTTTCTTCTTTTTACTTTTAGTTTCTCTCTCTAATAATCTATTTGAGCCTTTCCTTTTAAGATCTATCCATGGAGTAATCTCTGTACATTAACCCCATGAAACTCTCACTAAAATTTACAGCCCTTCCACTCCATAATAATTTTGATTCGTAGTAGCTTCCACTAGTATTTTCTATTTGATCATGCTAAAAACTATAATCTTTAATGGTTGGTTTATGCTAGTGAGTAAATCGTATCAAAGGATTTTCCTCAAATACACTTTCCTGCTGCATAGCTCTAATCTCACTTTTTTTCCTGTTTATTGTCTTGAGTAAATTACTGTTGATAGTATCCATTAAGTAGCTCTTATTTTGCATAATTGATGTGTACTATGATTAAATGTTTCCAGGATCAGTGAGGGTTGTGGTATCCTAATCTTGATTGTAATTATTTATGCTCATCATATTTTAGATTATGCTGTTATTATTTGTAACTTAATTATTTGTCTGGACTATGCTCTTACATAATCTTTGACTAGTATGATTTCTAGTACTAAAATTGCTTATAGTCTTGAAATCTAGATATTTTCCTCGCTTAGTTGTTGAATTTGAAGTTTCTCCTGGATTCAGTTTTATAAAACCATCTACAGATTATTAATAGAGTGAATCTATGTGATCATTGTTGGAGTTATGATTAATTGATTTAAATAATGTATTAGTTTCGATTCTTTTCGTATTTAATGCATGGCTGACTGTAGTATTGTTTCTTCTTCGATCAGTTTATTGACTTTAGATTAGTCTTAAATGCTTTTTCAAGGAGCTATTATTTTATTGGCTTAAATTTGATTGATTCCTTGTGGAGTTCCTAGAGGCGATTCTTTAGGTAAAGAATTCATTTTTAGTTGATGTAGGATTAGTGCTTGCATTCATTGTTTGATTATTCCAATCTATTTTGTTCTTTTTAAAACGAGTTGACCTGGCTGTGGTAGTTGGCCTTATTGTAGCATTTTCTAGAATTTGGGATAAATCCCCTTTAAATCGATCTTATTTGTTTTTTATCTCTGTATTTAGATCTGCTTAAGTCAAATAAAAATCCATTTTAATGTAAATAATTTTTAATGATTCCTTATAGTTTTATGATATAACATGAAGGGGTTTTGGGGTTTTGGGGTTTTGGGGTTTTGGGG